TTTTTTTTTTCTTTTTTCTTTTGTTTTGACATTTCAAAGATATAAAGGATTTGGTAAATGGATTTCAATGCTCCTTATTAATCGGGCTGACTTTGATTTTGGCCCAATCACTTCTTCCTTTCTTTAATTTGGCTCCAATCTCCTGAGTTCCAGCTCTTCATTTCCTTCAACTTTTGATGTTTTAAAATATATCTAAAGAATTTTGTCAAGAAAAATAACACTTCCAAAAATAATTATCAAAATAATAAAAATGCTCAAAATCATGTATTTTATGTATAATATGCAAACAATGGCCTAAAATGCTAAATATTACTCCCTCCGTCCATCTAAGATCTTCCCATTACGCGTTACGAGGCTTGACCGATTTTATTTTTAATTCAATTTAATTGATTATAGAAGTAAAATTTTAAAATAAAATTTATATAGTAATAAACTACATGAAATGTTCTACAAAACTAGAGGTGACAAGACTATATTATTTTTCAAAATGACTAGTAAAAATAAGCAAACAAAGTGAGTAAAGTTTGACTCCGTAAATAGTGACTGGGAAGATCTATGGTGGACAGAGGGAGTACAAAATATGCTCATTTAGGTATAAAATGCATATTAAATATATCAAAAGTACTAAGAAATGAAAGAATAAAATACGACATTTTATGACTTAACACCAGATGATCATGGGCAGATATTATCGTTAATAATAGTAGGCCAGATGATCATGGATCCTGACCCGGATGATTGGAAGATCGGCAGCGGATTAACGACAGTGTGGACCCTATTCATTATCTATTTAATAATATAACCGTTTTGGGCTTGAACCCACTATTGTCGCACTTCTTTATTTAAGACTTAACGATTATTATTTACATTTACTTCTACTATGAGACATTTTACAAAGGGAATTTACTCCCGTCATTTAACAAAGTAAATCAAGGATTTTTCAGTTACAAGAGCAATGAAAGGGTTTCCTTGTACATGGTCCGACAAACCGTCTATGTAACCTCTCTGGCTCGTTGGGCCGTGGCGAACCGGGTTCGCAAGATGGAGGGTGTTACAAAAACCTTTCCACGACTAAGACTTTGTATAACGTAGATCCTTTTGTCCCATTGTCTTAACTTAGTGCAAGGGATATAAAATAGCCAACTTGTAGCCATCAACTTATTTACTGATTAACAAGTCTGACTGATGAGAACGGATGTCTAAACTCATCTCAGCATGGCCATGCATTTCCTCAGTCATACTTATTAGTGGGCCCCTACAAGACATTATTCTGCTAAAGTAGCAGTTACAAATTCTTTGTACGTAATTTACGTCTTCGAATACGCGCAACGGCATGCCCAATACAAAGCCTGTGTACCATCCTTGTTTCACACAGCTTAGGACAATGAATCAAAGCATACGGGTTCACGCATTCGAAGAATGTAATACTTCAAGTCTAAGGATCGTTATACCAATAGTCGCATTAAGGACACATAGAGCATAGACTAAAAGTCTAGGCAATATCCTTAAGGTGGGTTAGGTCTGGCATCGTATTATTAACGATAATATATGCCCGATAGTAGAAGCAAACACTCCGTCATTGACCAAGAGACTAGGTAAAACATCTAACTCTCACTAGTCTCACACGCACTAACGATATCCCACTCTCGTTAAAGCTTCGACTATAGACCGTTTATAATTATACTAAGTGACAAGATGCTAGTCTTAACATCAGAAGAGTCATTCTGATAAACGTCTTATAATCTAATTCTAGGAATGCAATTAAGCGTTTACATTAGCAGGAGATGTTTATAAACTTATTATATCTGCCTTTACATGATAGAAAATATCTAAGATATTACAACAACAGTTGGCCATAAGGGCACCAGCTCCAACACTCGACCCACCAAGGGGTGGACGCAGTGTCACGAAAGACTACCCTCCAAGGGTATTTCTGGCCCACTATAGTAAAGGATTGCGCAGACTTCGTAAGGACGTGCAAGGTTTACCAAGAGTTGCAAAAGGTACCCAGGAGACATTCCACGAACTACACTTCCATCAGCACGGTTGTTCCGTTCGCGCAGTGGGGTGTGGACCTAGTTAGCGCTCTCCCTAGAGGCACCGGGAACGTGAGGTACATCATAGTGGCAATCGACTACTTCACGAAGTGGGTGGAGGCGACGCTGCTGGCAAGTATAACAGGAGCTCAGTGCCAGAAGTTCCTCGCCAAACAAGTCATCTGCCACTTCGGTGTCCCCGAGCATGTGATCACGGACAACGGGACGCATTTCGAGTCAAAGCCCTTTAATGACTTTCTTGAAAGTTGGGGGATCAAACATAGCTATGCATCGGTCGGATACCCGTAGACGAACGGGCAAGTCGAGAACGCTAACCGGACGATCATCGATGGGCTGAAGCAAAAGTTGGAAGCCTGCAAAGCGCAGTGGGCGGAGAAGTTACCCAACATCTTGTGGACTTACAGGACCACGCCCTGGAAAGCGACTGGGGAGACCCCCTTTGCGCTTTGTGACAGGTTCGAGGTAAGGGCACCAGCAGAGATCTCCGTCGCTACTCATCGCGAGGAGATCTTCGATCTCGAATGAAATGAAGAAGCTTTGGCAGCAGAAATCCATCTCGTCCATGAGAGGCGGGAAGCGGCCTTCATACGAGTAGAGAATTACCGAAGGAAGGTGAAGAGCTACCATGATGGACGAGTCCGCGCGCACCGCTTCATTGAGGAGACTAGGTGCTACGTAAGAGGGCGGTAAGCCGCCCCTTAGAAGGAGGGAAGTTCGCTAAAAACTAGGAAGGCCTCTATATAATCAAAGAGGTGGTGGGTCCTTCAACATTCCATCTGCAGATGCCCAGTAGAGGAGATGTGCCCAGAACATGAATGTCGAGAACCTCATCAAGTTTTATCACTAGAACCTTGTTGTACACGAATCCTCAAGAGGGAACCCATAATCCTTTGTTGAATTCAATGAAATGAAATTTCTTGCAAAGAATAGAGTCCACTTTGGCCATACTCGGATGTTTTTCCCAGATGAAGGTCAAAGATGCGCGCTCGGCTACAACCTCCTCAAGGAGAATGGCCGAGCGCGGACCATACCCGGATGTTTTTCCCGGATGAAGGTCAAAGACACGCTTGGTCCCAACCTCGGCAAGAAGGATGGCCGAGCGTAGACCACACCCGGATGTTTTTCCCGGATGATGGTCTCAAGACGCGCGCTCGATTCCACCCTTCCCAAGGAGGCCGGCCGAGCGTAAACCACACCCGGATGTTTTTCCAAGATGAAGGCCTAAGACGCGCGCTCGGTCCCAACCTCCACAAGGAAGATGGCCGAGCGTAGACCATACCCGGATGTTTTCCCCGAATGAAGGTCTCAAGACGCGCGACCTAGATGTTTTTCCAAGATGAAGGCCTAAGACGCGCGCTTGGTTCCAACCTTTGCAAGGAGGACGGCCGAGCATACACCATACCTGGATGTTTTTCCCGGATCAAGATTAATGCAAAAGTGACACTTAAAGCACGAGAACAATACTTAAAAACACGTTCATATCTTATTAATCCCGAAAAGGGGCAAATAGATGGCGCAAGCGGCTAACAAGAAGTCAATACATAGAAACATAAAACTTCAATGCTACCCGCCGCAATTCCACCCTCAGTGGCAAGAGCATTGCGGGGGTAGGGAGAAGGTGAAGGAGCGCAACCGACAAAGGAGTTTCCAGCAGATTCTCCAAAGCTAGGCGAATCAGGATCTTCGATGGACTGGTGGCTTGGATGGTGAGACGCCAGGGACTCACGCTCGGACCCTTGACCGGACGAGTGAGAGGTTGACGCCTTCGAACCCTGTGGTTCGGAGCAACCGGGGGAGCGGTGGTCGGCTCACCGTGTAACACCCTAATCTGTTCTAGTCTGTAGCCCCTTTCGGACTAAAGTATTAGCTTGGAAATCGTAAAAATTTAAAACATTTTGTTACAATATAAATAACTATTCTTGGGCAACAACCACAAACTTGAGATTTTGGTTGAGTTGGTTACTTGACATGGTATCAGAGCCTCATTGACTAAGAGGTCATACGGGTTCGAAATTCAGCGCCCCCCAGTTTAAAAAAAATTAAGGTTTGACGTGCAAGGCTCGAAAAAGATTACGCCTGCACGTGAGGGGGCGTGTTAGAATATAAATAACTATTCCTGGGCCACAACCGCAAGCTTGAGCTTTTGGTTGAATTGGTTCCTTGACACATTTCAAACACTTTTATTTATCATAATAATATTTTTCATAACATAAACAGTACGGAGTTCTCAATATCGCGGAATTTTAACAAATCATAATCACAGACATATTTTATTAATGTATTTCAATTCAAAACCATCACATCCATTCCGACAATCTCGCATACGTCTGACTCTAGGATCAAGTCATTCTTTCTATTAACCTGCGTGTAGCAAATAAAACCTACTACACACTCAGCGTTGAAGCTGAGTAAGCATATCTAATGCATCGAACATCCATATACATTGAATCTCAATTCACAATCAAATCATTTGATATCATGCACATAATGTTCAATTCAAACATTCAATAGTCAATATTCAAAACTCATCTCATTGTACAACATTAAACATTTATATTCATTCTTCATTTCAAATAGTCATACTGTCAACATTCAACAATATCCTTAAACTATTAATTCTCCATTTATTCTTAATTTGGGTCCATACTCAGGTTCCCAATCAAGATCACACAATAAGTCAACATGTTGGATTTATCTCTATGAGATTTATCCTAATTATATTTATGGGATATAAATACATATTTTATTTCGGCCCAAAGCCCAAACAAAATACTCCCTCCGTCCCAAAAAGATTTACACGTTTCAAAAAAATTGTGTCCCACAATCCCTTACCCATTTCTATTAAAAAACCACTTTTACCCCTTACTTTTTCAAACCTTACATATCACATCATACTTTTTTCCTAATAATCTATACATCACATCCTACTTTTACCCATCACATCAAGGGTATTTTTGGAAAGTCAACACAAAATTATCCCTTCCTTAATTTTAACTTTAGTCAAAATGGGTAACACTTTATGGGACGGAGGGAGTACATATTTTATTTTGGACCCTAATTATATTTATGGGATATAAATACATATTTTATTTTGGACCCTAGCTCTGGCGAAAATCGGCCCCCCTAGCTCTCCTTCGGCGATCTTCATTTTCCGGCCAATATGGCCGGCCAACGGCCACCGGACCCTCCCCAACATCCTCCTCACGTCCAGCCGGTTCTAACGAGCCCCTACACGTCGGAAACATCCACCGGAAACGCCCCCTCTGCTGTGGCGATCGCTGCTTCCAAGCCGCCCTTTTTTCTGGCGACCTCCGGCCATGCCCACGTCCCAGGTGATTTCTCTCTTCTCCCTGGCAGTGAGACGATCACAGGGAGCCATTTTTCAGGCGCAATTATCACTGGAAACATCTGCATGCAATCGGCGACCATGGCGGGTCTGGCAACCGGGTTGCCTCCTCTTCCTCTGGTTTTTGCCCCATCCAGCGTCACGCACACATCCCCAGACGTTCCTCCGGTCCAAGCGATTGCAACATCCTCCTCTCCCACGGATTTGGTGCATGGAGGTCCAGGGCCAGTTGCTGCACTTACGGCAATAATGTCCCCCCAACCTACTGTTTCCTTTTCTCCGGTGGTGCTTCCCACTTCAGGTCTCTCTACTTCTCCTTTGCATGATTTTGTACCTATGCAAGAGGCCTTGGTCGTGGAACACACTGCTGCCGCCTCACTAGCTCCTTCTCACACCTGCGCGCCAGGTGTTTGTGAAATTGCCACAACGGGAAGCCCTTCAACAATGGGAGATTATTTTAAGGTGAAAATACCTCTTGCTGCTTTTAGTCATTTCAACTGGAAAAATATTGATGGTGCTGAGCTTAAAGGCCTTCTTAGTGATGAAACCGCCATGTTGCATGTCCCTTTGTCCTCCTTCTCTCAATACAAACGCTTGAATATTCAAGGAGCTGTAATACTTTCATTAATGGGGCAGGATGGGATTCCATATGGGGATTATCCAGTTGATGAAGTGCTTCGCCCAATCACCCAGCCCCATTTATTCCAGCCTTTCAATCTTGAGCTCCCAAAGGAGAAGGAGAAACGGCTTGCCCATGGGGCTGCTACTCCAGGTGAAAATGCCGCTCTTACCTTAGCTTCCACTGCCAAGACAAGTATTTTGGGCCCTGGACCACATCATGCAGCCCCTATAGTGCATACTGTCACGTCCCATGTACGGCAAGGAGGAGAAAAAGGGGTGTCTTTTGCCCCTACTTTGGAGCCTAAAGAAAATCATGGTATGCCTCCTCAAAAACCAGTTGCCAATAAGGTTGTGGCAGTGGTTTCCCAAGGTACGCCAGCTGTACAGGTTCCCCATGCTGCACGGCCAGGAGGACAATCCAGCACACCCAAACTCTCCTTTGCACAGGCCGTGGCAGGTGCTTCAAACACACCGAAGTCTTTCGCTCAAGCAGTCACTGGGACGTCTACTACAGGTATTTCTTTAAGGGCTAATGCTTCTCGCCCCTCTTCTATTTTACCTAATGTTGTTGTTGAGGACAAAATCCCCACTTTTCATAGGGGTACTCCCGGAGTTGTTTTCAAAAAGTCTGAAATGCAAAAACTTTCTCAATTGGATAATTTTCTTCTTATTGGTAAATTTTCACATGGTCGCCCAGAGATTGCCACATTGAGGAAGTTTTTTGCTGAAAAATTTCTCCTCCGGGAGTCTGTTCAGATTAGTCATCGTGACCCTCGCCATGTTATGTTATTATTCACCCATCCTCAAGACTGTAATGATATTTTTATGCAAGGGCAGATTCAGTTTAACGGACAATTTCCTATGAGACTTTTTCGATGGTCTCCGGAATTTAATGTTAAAACTGAATCTTCCATTGCGCCGGTGTGGGTGACTTTTCCTAATCTGAGGGCTGATTTATTTAATGAGAGTGCCATCCACCAGCTTTGTAAGCCCATTGGGAGGTGCTTTGGGAGGTGCTTGAAAGTGGACGTTGCTACGTCCACTTTCTCACGCCCCAATGTGGCTAAGGCTCGGGTGGAGATAGATTTGTTGCAGCCTAGGATAGAGCAAATTTGGATTGGTTTTTCTGATGAGCCTGGTGAGGAGGATGTGGGCATGTTCCAACCCGTGGAATATGAACGCATTCCAAAGTACTGCACGGCCTGTTTTAAACAGGGTCACGATAATTCTTCGTGCAATACTTTGACTCCACGTCAGCCTGATCAGAGGACAGCTGTTGTTGTTCCTCAACCTTCTACGACTGCACCCATGAATACCCCACCTCCTCAACGGAGGCGAAGTAGGAGTCGGGTCAGGCGTCAAAGGGAGGGGAAAGGTATTGCTTTGGATGATGCAGGTACAAGAGCCGGTGGCTCCCATCGGGAGGAGTCACAATATGTTTGGAGAGAAAAGACGGCAAAAGGGTCCCGACCTATTGAGGTCGTGGATATTGATGCGGTTTAGGTAAGGGGGAGGGACCCTCATCCAGCTTACACGCCTTTGTGCCCACTTCTTCACATCCCACCCCGAATGTTATTATACCTGATGCTAGTTTAGTTCCTTCTACTATTAACGCCACTACTCCCACACCTGTTGTGGTTGAGCAGTCGGCGTCCCCGATCGTTGAGCCATATGTTCCTCCTACCGGAGTTGAGCAAGGCTCCGTTGTTGCTTCTCTTCCTCTCTCTACTTTTTCTTCTTCTCCTATTGTACATGTTCCCGATCCTCAACCCCCCGAGCTGGCTCTGGCTATGTCTAATACTTTTGATGCTTTGGGGGAGATGGCTAGGGACAGTCATGAGGGCTACGACTTTAATACTGCTGCATCCTCCATTCCTTCCAATTCGGTAAGGAAGGAGGATGACGATTGTAGTTCGCAGACTAGTGACGGGTCCATGGGTGATCATTTTGAGGATCCGACTGACATTGCCCGGGATCTTGCAGCGAGTGGTGTCTCCCCTGCAAGGGAGGCTCCGACCACAAGGGGTAAGTCGGCTAAAAACGCTCGAAAGGCAACAGAGCACAAGACGGGGGTGCCTCCTGCTCCACGCAGAGTCACCCGTTCCACTTCTTCTCGTTCTCAATGATGATGCGGTTCCTTGTTTGGAACGTGAGGAGCATCACCTCACAGGATGTCCTTTCTAAGATTCGAATTTTACTTAAGCAGCACACCCCAGTGTTGTTAGGTATTTTGGAGCCTATGAAGGCATCCTCGCAGATTGACTATTATAAGACACTGTTGGGTTTCACGGGAGCTAGGTGTGGTGCGGATGACCAAATCTGGCTCTTTTGGAACTTTGACATTGCGCCGTCCATTCATTTTATTTCTTATTTTGCACAGTCACTAACCTTTTCTTTCTCTCACCCTTCTTTTCCTAACCCTCTTTGGTTGTCAGTGGTTTATGCTAAATGTAAGTACAAGGACAGGGAGCCATTGTGGGAATATCTTAGAGAGACACATGCTGCTCTCTCGGCTGACATGGCATGGGGGGTGGTGGGTGATTTCAACTGTCTGCTCGATCCCTCGAAGAAGAAAGGCGGCCGGCCGTATGCTCTAGTCAAATATCGGCCATTTGTTGAATGCGTGGAGGATTGTGGACTGGTTGATTCTCCTTTCACAGGGGAGGATTATACCTGGTTCAACAATCGAGTGGGCGGCGTGGAGATTCGGAGCCGGATTGATCGTTTGCTTTTTAACCAGCCGTGGACAGATATGTTCTCTTGTTTGGTGCATCACTTGGATAGAGTTGGATCTGATCATGCTCCTCTGTTGGTGGAGTGTAAGTCTCATGAACATCCTCCTGCACGGCCTTTCACTTTCCTTAATGTCTGGACAGAGCACGAGGATTTTCAGAAAGTGGTAGCCAACTCTTGGAGGGAGGACATTACTGGCAATCCCATGTTCGTATTTGGTGCTAAGCTCAAGCGTCTGGCACATAGCTTGAAGAGATGGAACCGAGACACCTTCAGTCACATCTTTGATAGGCTTAAGCTGCTTGAGCAGGATGTTCGGGATATTGAGCTACAGCTGCAGACAGATTCATAAGATGAGACCTATATCGAGTTCAAGCGGCGCTCTGCACTTTTGAAGCGCCAGTATCGTATCGAGGATGAGTTTTGGCGGCAGAAAGCCCATGCGAAATGGGTGACGGACGGGGAGAGGAACTCGGGGTACTTTCACTCTGTAGTGAACGATCGCCGGCGGAAGCTCTACATTCACCGCATACAGGATGATCATGGGCAGTGGGTCACGGAGAGAGCTGGGATTGCGATGCAGGCGATTACCTTTTTTCACGCCATGTTCACTGCAGATCCTAGTGTTACATCTTCGGCCTTAGACATGATTCCACGGCTGGTCACTGATGAGGATAATGATTGGCTATGCGCTGTTCCGGAGATGGAGGAGGTCAAGACTGCGGTCTTTGCTATGGACTCTAGGAGTGCAGCGGGTCCCGATGGCTTTACTGGGGCCTTTTATAAGGCCGCTTGGACGATCATTTGCACGGACTTATTGGCGATGGTACAGGCTTTTTTCTTAGGCCACGATCTGACTCGCCCTCTCACGCACACTTCTATTGTTCTATTGCCCAAGAAGCCCAATCCTGTGACCTTTGCGGACTTTAGACCCATCAGTTTGTGTAATTACTGCAAAAAGATCATCACGAAGATTATGGTTGTTCGCTTGGCTTCCGTGCTCCCCCGGCTGCTTTCCCCGCATCAGAGTGGGTTTGTGGCGGGGCGCTCTATCACTGATAATATTCTTTTGGCTCAGGAGATGTGTCACGGGATGTCATTCTGAAGCTGGACATGATGAAGGCCTATGACCGGGTCTCCTGGTATTTCTTGATGTCAGTACTGCGCCGATTTGGATTTTCGGAGACTTGGATCGATCTGGTCTATCGGGCCATCTCGAATATTTGGTACTCAGTCATTATTAATGGGATTCGAGAGGGCTTTTTTCATTCGACGAGGGGCTTGGAGCAGGGGGACCCACTCTCTCCATCCTTGTTCATCCTATCAGCGGAGGTCCCTTCTCGTTCTTTGGCTCGGCTGTATGCAGATCCTATTGTTGCTCGTTTTACACAGCCCCGTGATGCACCACATATCCATCATCTTGCCTACGCCGACGACATTGTCATCTTCACTTCGGCGAGGGGGGACACTTTAGAGAGAGTTCGAGCAGTTTTACGTTCCTATGAGCAGATTTCAGGCCAGACTGTCAGCCTACCTAAGAGTGCCTTCTTTATGCACCCTAAGGCGTTGGCACCCGTGTTGGAGCGTGTTCGAGATACCCTCGGGTGTTCATTGGATGTGCTTCCATTCACTTATCTTGGCTGTCCTATTTATCATGGTCGGAAGCGCATTCATTACTTTGAGCCTGTTCTGAAAAAGATGCGGAACAAATGTTGTGCGTGGAGGGGGCACTATCTTTCTCCGGGGGGGAAGGCTATTATGGTTAAGAGTGTTCTGCAGGCGATCCCGACACATTTGCTCGCTGCACACTTTCCTCCCAAGACAGTGATTCGAGAGATGGAGTCTATCATGGCACGATTTTTTTGGTCTGGCTTGGGAGGGACTCGACGCTACCATTGGGGATCTTGGAAGACTCTGGCATGACCAACGAGGGAAGGTGGGGTCAGCTTCCTTGATTTTATGACTCTGGCTAAGTCTTGTTCGGCCAAGCTCTGGTGGAACTTTAGGACACAAGACACTATTTGGACGGCATTCATGCGGGCTAAGTACTGTAGCCGCGTCCATCCTGTGTCCAAGCAGCGTGGTGCTGATGATTCACACACATGGAAGCGCATGCTAGATGTTCGCGCCGTGGTTGAGCCTGTGATTCGATGGCATGTACTATCTGGCACGTCTAACTTCTGGTGGGATACATGGTCTGGATTGGGTGCCTTGCATCGCCAGGTCGATGGCTGCAGTGGGTACTGGACTGATGGAGTGGGTGATATGTATCGCTCTGATTTTATGATTGACCATGATGCTTGTTGGGGACTTGTCGTGTGGTCCAAAACAAATTAAAAAATTATAAAATATCCTTAACTAACCCCCAAAATATAATCAAATAAAAACTATAGCTAGGGCAAGTAAGGGTCGATCCCACGGAGAAAGTTTGTACTTTTTAAAACCAATTTAGTATACAAACACGTTGTCACGAAATAAAATAAAAAAAAACAAACTACTACACAAATGATAATACTTATAAAACTTTTAATTAAATAAATATATAAACTTATAAATATAACTTATATAAACAAAGAACTTATAATATAACTTAGTAAAAAAAACTTATATAAATATAAACAAAAAAAAGGGGGGGTTGAATAAAAAGTAAATATTTTTGGTTTTTATGTATTTTCTTATTTTTTTTGGTTTTTTGATAAAATGGGGGAAATAAGCTCAAAAATATTACTTCTCCAATAAAGGTAACCCAAGAAACACCGCCAAGAACCCGAGACAAAATGAAAAAAGAGAACAAACACGAGTTGAACATTACACGTATAATAGGCACGTAGACAATATATTACGTAACTTACGCACTTAAGAATAGGAAAAACAATCAAAGGCCGAGTCGATTCATTTCCTTAACCACGATATGGAGGATTGTCAACTCTCCACACGGCCCGGAGTCATGCAATTCAAAGGCCCATTTTGAAATATACCTTAG